TGGTGTGCAGAGCACAGATAGCCCTTGTGTAGCGTTGTGCATAATTAAAAACAAACAAACAAACGTTTGGTGAGGTTTTTATCCGTCAGTCTCCACTTTTCTAGCTTTCGGATTTTAATAACTCAGTTTTTCTGCGCAAAATTGCATAAAGGCTATCTACGCATAGCCGTCCCTAATTTGAAGTGATAGATTAGGGGTAAGGCACCTATTAAACAGCTCCCACAACCAACTTTTGGATTACTCTTGTCGGATCGAATATTGGAATTCAACTGTTGTCACTCTTATAGTGTACGCACTTCCTGAAAGTGCAGAGTGCGTTTTTTTTCAAGCATCGGGTGACGAATCATCAATCCTCAAATTCACAGTCCAGGCACATTTACTTGTAGGCCACGCGCTGCTCGGTTTTTAGTGAATTAGATAACGAAAAAACAATTGATATTTTTGATAAAGGGAATTACTCTGGTTTTTGTCTCCAGTTCGAGTTGATTTGTTGATACAAACTGGAGAACATTTGTAAACAACCAAAGTACGACCACATACATATATATATATATTTTTTAAATCACTAATGGATAGCGTGGCGGATTTGATAATTTAAATAGGACCATGTCGTTTCTCATTCTCTTAAGATTCGAAGAAACTTTTATGAGAAATCTAGTTTCAAATTCCGCCGCTGATACGTCAGCGCCAATCATCGCCAATCATCTACAACCTATACACATTGTTACTTTGGTATGTGAAATTAGAACAAACCTAAATCACCCAAGCTGGCCGAACCTCTTGAAATATCATTGGGATTACAGCACCTCGAGTAATTAAAGTCGCTCGGCTGATTATTGATACAGTTAGGCGGAAGTATAATTCCATCGTAATTACGTTGTGTTAAGGCTGATTATTGATACAGGGTAGGTGGAAGTATAATTCCATCGTAATTACGTTGTGTTAACTGTGAAGGACTGTGGCTCGGGTGTTAGAATCTATGATGTTATTCTGAACATTGGGAATGGAGTATCCACAGTTCAAATGACGATAAACATCAAGAAATCTGAAATTAGTACATTTGAAGAACTATTGCGAAGTGTTTTTTTATCATCAGCCCAGTGTATTGTTGTAGCAGAACAATGAAGAGTGTTTTGGTCATCAGCCCAGTGTATTGTTGTAGCAGAACAATGAAGAGTGTTTTGGTCATCAGCCCAGTGTATTGTTGTAGCAGAACATTGAAGAGTGTTTTGGTCATCAACCCAGTGTATTGTCGTAGCAGAACAATGAAGAGTGTTTTGGTCATCAACCCAGTGTATGGTCGTAGCAGAACAATGAAGAGTGTTTTGGTCATCAGCCCAGTGTATTGTCGTAACAGAACAATGAAGAGTGTTTTGGTCATCAGCTCAGAATATTGTCGTAGCAGAACAATGAAGAGTGTTTTGGTCAAGTTTTGACAAACATTCACTCTCTGTTGCTTTACTCGCCCAGCAAAAATAGGACGATACTCTTTACCATTCTGTTATCATTATGAAATTATGTAACTAATAATTATTGACAACTGTTTCTTAATTAACTTCTCCTTCACAGTAAGTATAATTTTGTACCTGTATTCAAGATTTCTAAAACGTAATAAAACAGAAACAAGCTTACAGTTCTAGGACAGTGTTTCCCAAAGTGGGAGCTGCGACTTTTCTCTGGGGGGGGGGGCGTCAAAAAATGGGCCGAAAACAACGTTGGTGAATTAAATTTAACTCCAAATAAACAATAAGCCGATAAAAATTATGTTGAATTAATTAAATGATACGGTACGTCGAAAAAGAGATGTTATTGTTTTCACTACGACACTGTTTTCAATCACGAAACTAAAGTTATAGGTTGAGGGGGGGGGGCTTCAAATTTTTTTATTCACATCAAGGGAGCCTCAGACTAAAAGAGTTTGGAAACTGAACCACTGGACTAGAGGAAACACCATCCACCACTAACTCTTGGTATTGACCGTCACTTTATAACGCCCCTACGGGTGAATGGACGAGAATTTTGGGGGAACGGGGATTCGAACCCCCTCCTCTCAGATTGCGAGTCGAACGCCTGAACCACCAGGCCCTGCCAGAACATTTGGAATGTAATGATGTCTTGTAGTTATAGGTTCGAGCTTGATCGTTTGGAGAAATGCAGATGGCACAGAGTATTTGAGTAGTCGTGTGGCGATACGAATTACTTTGTTTGTGGCTTGTGACGATAGGTAGAGCCACTTTCAAAGATTGGCCTGGCATGTGTTTAGTAAAACATGATGACTGTGTTGCATGTTTAACCAACTGACTGCTAATTCGACCTATAGAGAATGATCTAAACTGTGTTGGTGTAACACAATCTCCTTAATTGATACTCATTCTGATATCACTATTCAACACATTCTCAACAACTGATATGGTTCCGAGTCTTATTGGCGCATATTCCAATTCCAGTGAATATCCAGCCGGTAGACGTATTCCAATACATTCCTTCACACATACATGTCAGACTCATTTTTAATCAACAAACAAAACCTATTTTTGAGAGCTACGTCTTTACGTCTTTAATTCTTAGAACACGATTTAGGATAAATTTGACTGGTATCTGGAGTTAAATTCCGCCTGAAATTGGGGGTAGTTAGTTCTTTCTAAATATTTACTGGCTTTGGATCTGTGTGTGTCGCAAAGTTACTGCTGCTTGTTTTATTTTTTTCCGATGGAACGGTGGATTCTAAATTTCGAGGGGTGGTAGATTTGTTCAAAGTGCTACGTAAAACAAGCACTAAATTCAGATAGTTTCAAGGCATTTTTAACGTCAATTATTTCCTCGTGTAAATACTCGCAATTCTATGAGGGGTGTTAACTAAAATTTATCCAGGAATAATATTAAGTCTCAGGATCAAATTCTTCAAAATGAGTATAAACATCTGTTTATCGGAAATACTATTTCCGGATTATGAAATGTTTATCGGAAATACTATTTCCGGATTATGAAATAGTCACCTTGAATCACGTCCAAATTATACTGTTAATGTTAATAATAATAATATTATTATTTTAAAACTTTCAGTAAGCCATGTTCTCGTGATCGAAAAATAACACAAGTCTAGAAAAAAATAGCTAAACAACAATCGATCTGCACACATTTCTTGGCCATGACAGGTGTAACATGCTAACTTCAATTTATCGTATATATATTTACGATAAAAACACAACGTGGCTCTAAACTCGAAGCACATCTTATGCAGCAGAGCAAAAATAAGTTCGCACGTAAATCGATAGTTTCTTGCAAAGTAATTTCGGCATAAATTGGCTCCGCATCAAAACTTATCGTTATCCACTTCTACATTACACAGATTTAGGAAATTTAAAAGCAAAGTCATTATTGAAATATTCCCAAGAAAAACGTTCAAATGCTTGACAAAAACTATAGTTATAAATACCAACATTTCAAACAACACTTCCCCTGTCAATAAACGTAAGTATACAAACTCAATTGTTGATCGCAAGCTAAAAGAAAATACTACCCAAATTGGCCTTTCAATTTTCCTTCTAATGAGAAATGCAGCGATAAGAATTACTTGAAATCTTATTAAATCAGAGTTATTACAAAATAGTTTAGAAACAAGCCTTGAACATCAGAATTTCAAGAAACAACATTTAAAGACATATCGCTTTCTAAAAGCAATTCTGATTGGTTGGTTCTAATTGTTAGTCAAACGAAAGAAAAGATAATACTTTTCTACGCGAAAAACTAATTTATGTTTGGCTTGTTTTTGTTTTTCATTCCAACAATATATGTTCAAGATTTTCCAATCTTTTCATTTTGTTTCATTAAACGTGGTACTGATGGTACTAACAATGAAATATTTCTACTTTGTTGCCTTCCAAATTTAATTATTGGAATATAATAAACTCAAAAAAAAATAAGGGAGACACGTGCTAAATAGGAAATAAAAATAAAAAAACTTGGCGATTGTTCGATCCATAGATAGTTATTGTTTGGTTATTTCGATGTATTATAATTTAAGTTAGGCCTCGACAAATTGCGGGCGCCAGGTCTCCATAGCGACTGAAAATTTTTATCGTGGCGCCTAGTATTTTCTCACATTTTATTCGTGTATAGGACTGTGTTAAATAGAACTCGAATCTAAATCAGTTCGGACTCTTGGAAGTGCGGACCTATTTTCGCGTTCTTTGAGTCCTAAATCGAATGAAGGAATGAAGCACTGCAGTTACACAAAACGTTACTAATTTCGCGCCATTTTGTTTTCCATCTTTCTCTCAATTCATGTTTAGACTGACACGGGACCAAAGGTAATTAGTTCAGGCAATACTATCAAGTGGTTGTTGATACCATGTGATCGTTAGCATGCACTCGTTGCTGCGAGAGTAAATAAATATAGAACTCATTACTCGATACAAACAGTAATTAAGTTAGATTAGGCACACCAAAAGTGTTATAGTGACGAGTAGATTAGGCATATTCTGAAACAACCTGCTTGGCCTATCAATACCGTAATGATTATTTCTATTTCATTTCCAATCGTTGCAAGAATCCAAGTAAGTTAAAGTTAGTCTACAGTTTTAATAATTGCACATAGTGAAGTTGAACTTTAATATATGTAATATAATAAAGTTTAATAATGAACCCATTTGTTTTGGTGTAAAACTGTATGTATTGTACCATATCCCCACAACCGACTCCCAACCCTTTTCTATATTGGACCTGGCTCCTGCGTTTTTTGGGCTGGCTCCTAAATTTGACGAGGCCTGTTCTAAAGGTAGAATAATATTCAGTCAAACAACTCGTTTGTTTGTCACCAAGCACAAAGCTACAATAGTCTATCTGCGCTGTTCCCACCACGGGTATCGAGACCCGATTTTTAGTGTTACAAGCCCTCCCGGGGAAGGGGAGGGTTAGACGAACTAAAAGTTAACGTTTAGAGAAATTAGTGTCAATTTTCTTATAGAAACTGTTAATGTTTCCTCTCTTATTCCTTGTAGCTGACAGAAGGGTTGTCTTTTCTTCATTATTCCTGTAAACTTATCCACCGGAACATCTGTCCTCAGTCTGTAATTATCAATAAACGTGGGACGTGGAAACTGGCGGGATTAGAATTCACTGAGAAGTGTGATGACACAAGCACCATGGTGAGTATTCACCGTTTATAAACATATCAGGATTACTGGTAACAAGTTGCGTTCCGATTTCAACATCACTACCCCACGTTGGTAAATAAATGGTGGGATATTTCACATCCCTCATGGTGTAAATGAAAATGTGAAATAAATTCACACAAAAGGTGAGAGTGCACACTTTGTAACTGCAACAAAACTCAGCTGCTAAAGGCGTGGCTTCAGGCTCTCAGGAATGCTAATTCTAGAATTATACGAATAAAATGGCGAACACTGAGAACGTTTGGCTGTTATACATCGCGAGTAATTTAACTTAAACCCAACGTTGTTTTACTTTCCAACTCCTTTCTCCGAGTGTCCTTTGTTTTGCTTTACACAACTAGTTGAATCGGACTTCTCGAGAAAAACGTGTTCTCAAGACAGAATCATTTAAGAATCTTTACCTCTGTCGTGAAGGTATGAAATGTTTATGACCTACGACCTTTTTAAATGTCAAAAATGAAACTTTTAACTTCATTTCCACTCTGATACTTTTCAAACTCAGACTCACGACGTTTCATATTTTCAAAAAACGAAACAAAATTGACTTCGCTAAGAAGTTTACAACATAATTTTTTTTTTAAGTGTGTAGTATTTTTAACACACTATAGTGGGCTCAACTACCAGCTCAGGTTGTTGTTGTTTTTTGTTGTTGCTATTAAACACAAAGCTACACAATGGACTTCCTGCCCATTGCGGGCATCGAAACCGGAAGTTACCAGGTCAGAAACACTAAGATTCAAACATAGCAGTCCCTAATTTTGAACTAATGAGGTCCGCCTATACGTAACCAAACAGAAGGAGCGAATGTAATTTTTATAACTTTCTCACTGCTTAAAATACGACGTACGTTAGTGTTAAGCGACATATCGCGGGTTCGAGCATTGAACCTATCGTTCTTTTTAGCCGGAAAACGAACCACCAGATCCCACTTGGCATCTCCTCAAATCAGAACAAGCCTTTGTATTTTGCCTTTTTTTTCTTTTGGACCCACTTTTAAAGCCCTATTAAGTATGAGAGTAAAAATATTAATTATTTGGTAAACTTTATGTTTACCACTATAACATTTTCGTTTTTTTTTCAAAGTTTGTTTTGTTGACCACAAAGCTAGCTGTGCTGTACCCACTACACGTATCGAAACCCGGTTTTCAGCGTTATAAGCCTTCAGATTTACCGTCGAGTTCTCTTTTAGGATAACTTTACTGCACTAAGGGGCTGATATCAGAAGACTAGAAAGAAAACATACGTTTTATTCAATTGTGGCCCCTGATGGGGCTGCGGTAAGTTTATGGACTTATAACACTAAAATCCTGGGTTCGATTCTCTGAGGTGGATAGAGTGCACATAGTCTATTGTGTAGGTTTGTGCTAAACATCATAACATATTCAACTGAATACCAAGAAAACATGGCTGCCAAAAAACGATATACCTTTGTGAAAGTTAAAAAAAACAACAACAAAAACTCATGCGTATTAATAAGAATAAAGTGTCTTAAAATGATTCAGTGCTCTCGCTGTTAGCGGTGTTTTCGGCAGTTATCCCAATAATAGCTTATGAAGCTTGACCAGCCTAGGAGATATAGGTTAGTCCTAAATTTATATGCATAATAATTCTCATAATAAAAAGGATAAAGAATAATATAATATTAATATATTCACTAATTCCTTGTCCATTAAAAGGCATGGCACCAAAGTGACCAGGGAAAGTTAAACAAAATAACGTAGAGGTAACGTAGCATACGAGAAAGTTACCACAACAAATGTTACTATTTAACTACGCCATTGTGAGGTAAGACGGTACAGATAGCACAATAAAAAAACTAATAATTATGAAGATAAATAGTAAGGAATAATTCTGCATCTGTGTTAAACATAGAGTTTGACTTTACTATCTAGGAATCTAGCAGTTTTAGCAAACTAGATTTAAGTATACGAATATTGAAAAAAGAACCGTTTCATTAAGCTGGATACTCTCTAAAGTTTAAAAAAAAACAACACACACAGTTTACTTTACTAAGTGAAAGTTAGAATACCAAAAGTACTGACTTTGGTTAACTGAAGATCCTCAAAGTAAAAAAAAAACAAGCTGAATGAAAGTTTAAAGTCATCAGTTACAGTCTACAGGGGACTTTTTAGATTAAAAACAAAATGCACAAACAAAGCAAAGTTTGTACACAAAATGTATCTGACATTCAAGATTTGTGTCCAAGTTAAGGTTTAGGGCATGGCTGCGGGCATTTTGAAGTTTTCCTGGAAGGATTCGGGCATTTTGGAAGCTTTCATCATCATGCTTTACTTCCTAATTTATTTTCTTGGTTTAAAATAACTGTAAAAAAAAAACGCATTGTGTATGATGATAAAAAAAACGTTTTGTTTAATTCTCTGTAATATTTTTTTTCCATTTCATAGAATTCCGTACCTTGTCAGCCATTCACCTCTAAACTACCCAAGATGGCCCAACCGGATCTTGATTTTACAGCTCCAGAAGTCCAGATGTCGTCCACGTGCTCACCGTACAGTGACATGTTTTCATTGGGACTACTGGTCTGCTCCATCATGAACAATGGTCGCTCACTTATTGAAGCCAATTTAAGCTCCAGCACTTACAGCAAGCAGCTGGATTTAGTAAGACTTGTGTTCGTTAATGTGTGATGAATTTAGAGCACGTGCCGCGAAACGAAACGTTTTCTTTAACTGACAGAAAAAGAACAAGCACTTTGAGATTTTATTGATTTCATGAAAGAAGTCATTCTTTCAAATTTAATATACGTTACAGCAACATGAATAACTATGAAAGCTGGCAAATTATCGGAAAAAATCAATATACCAATTTTTTTCTTAAATAAAAAAAAACAAGTTAACAGGATTTTTTTTTTTTACATTTCTCTTAATTTGCAGCTCGAAATCAGAAATGCGAAAAAAATAACGCATTTCGGATTTATATTTTTTCTCCCATAGATCACTGTCCAATAAGCTTTTAAAAACAGCATTTCATAGAATATTTGGTCTTCCATCGTCCAGCGCAACGGATGAGTTCTGCTCTCGAACCAAAAGCTTATCAGACAGTGGTTTGTGGGGGGACAAAATACACATTTGAAATGTTACAATTTAAAAAAAAAAAAAAAAAACTTTGATTTCTGGTCGCAAAAGACAGATTAAAAGGTATGTGAAAAAATAAACACATCTGTGGTTAACTTTATATATACATTATCATTGTTACTTACTAGTTTGTCCCATCACTCTGCTAATCACTCGATAAATTTATCAAAATATTGATATTCATACATATGCGTAAGTAATATTAAAGACAAGCTGGATATTAATAACTTACAACGTTGACAACCACCACTTTAAACGCCTCCCGCCGTCAGTGCCTCAGCAATAAGTCTGAGGGATTATAATGCGGTGGGCAAAGCACAGATAGCCCACTGAGCAGCTTTGTACATAGCATCGTATGAATAATAAACGCGTTGCACAAAGTAGGTTAAATCTGATGCATGATGTATCCCTATTGACATCTCTTCTACTAAGTTGTATAATACCATGTCCCCATTGATGTATCCCTATTGACATCTCTTCTACTAAGTTGTATAATACCATGTCCCCATTGATGTATCCCTATTGACATCTCTCCTACTAAGTTGTATAATACCATGTCCACAATGATGTATCCCTATTGACATCTCTCCTACTAAGTTGTATCATACCATATCCACAATGTTGTATCCATATTGACATCTCTACTACTAAGTTGTATAATACCATGTCCACAATGATGTATCCCTATTCGTGGACATGGTATTATACAACTTAGTAGTAGAGATGTCAATAGGGATACATCATTCAACTTAGTAGAGAGATGTCAATAGGGATACATCATTGTGGACATGGTATTATACAACTTAGTAGAGAGATGTTATAACATCATGTCCTCAATGTAGCTTGTACTCCATTTTTATCTCTCTGCATTTTGCGAACCAAACGTTTATTTTATTATTATTATTTTTTTGGATTATTGTCTGAAGAACTGCATTGAAATATTAACAAACGTAAGGAAGAGCTTCTGATGTTAATATTAACAGCAGTCTTGTGTAACCTTTATAAATATATACAAATAGTAAAAAAACATGATGTTTGTAAATAGAAAAATAGTTATGGTCATACGTTGTTTGCAGGTTCAAAAACACTTTTGCATTCACAAATGTAATGATTTTATTAAAGATGTGAAGATATTATTAACATTGTTATTTTTAGCGATGGGCTATCTGCACGCTACTCAACACAGGGAATCGAACCCCGGATTTTATCGTTATAAGTCCATAAACTTGCCGCTGACCCAGCGGTGGATATAATAGCTTATTAAACAGACTTTCTTATACGTTATGTAATCTGAAATTCAAAATTTTAAATCCAATAAAATATGTCAGCTAGAAAATAACAACAGTCCTCCGGTAGGTCAGCAGTAAGTTTACGAGCTTACAACGCTAAAATCCGAGGTTCGAGTCTCCACGGGGGACAGTGTGCGGATAGCTAATTCTATAACTTTGCTTCACGAAAACAGCAGCAACAACAAAAAATATCGTCTATGCACTTCAGGCAGAACTCTAACCATGAATCAATGCTCATGACGGGAATCGAACCGAGATTTTTAGTGTATATGCCTTCCAACTTGTTACTGAGCCACTGGAGGGCATTTTATTTGTAATACTCTATTATAACGACTTTTTTGAGGCTGGTAAAATGTTAAATCAGAATTAAATAAAGATTTTTCAAACTAGGTTTTAGTATTTATACTACAGATTGATTAAACAGAGGTTATATTTATGGTTATTTCTTTGTAATATGCAACATATGTTTTAACAAATTTGGTTTCTTTTAGCTAGAACAGAATTTGCACGATATTCTGGACAGAGTACCGTACCATCTACAAGAGCCACTCCAAAGTCTGTTAAACATTGATCCCCGAAGACGACCAAATGCTCAGAATTTTTCAATGGTATTTATCGTACAACAGATTATTTCAGTAGCAGTTGCTACCATTAATATCAATATATGTTACTTAGGCTAAATTGTTACAAGTTACAGATTCCCATCAATTAGTATCGTTCCAAAAAATTGCATTTTTTTATACTATGGTTAATCAAAAAATTCGAATTATGTTCTTCCTCATACAAACTTTAAACAAATATAAATTATGTGATGGCCATCTGTTGTGAAATGCTACTGAAAAGGCCGTAGCACTAACGACGTAACAGAGCAAGTGTTCTCTGTGTGGAGGGATTTTTTAGACATGGCATAACAGCTCATAGAATGGCTCCGAGTTTTTTTTGTCAAGTACAAACTTAAACTTTTAACTCGTAGCTCCGTCACTTCTTGATCGATTTGAGATCTAATTACAGTTTTGGACTCAGGAGGTCAAACCCTTTCGATTGATTTATTTGACCAAGATCTCGTAGATTCATTTACTCTAATCCTGTCTTAAATAATTTCGATTTGAAACGTTCTCTATTGTTGACGGTTTATCTTTTGTTATTGTTGTTTTTTCTGAGTAATTGGTAAAAAAGAAGAATACAAATCCAGTCCTCTTAATAACAACAAAAATGTTTTAATTCTTTAACAAATTTTTGTTAACCTGACGACGTTCACTGATAGGCCTAAGTTCGCAGCAGTCGCTAATACAACAATTTTACTCACTTGCTAATTTCTCGTGCTCTTCACAAAGTACGACGCATCTCTTATTAGTTCCTCTAAAACACAAACAGTATTCCAAAATTGAATTAAGTAACTAAAAATCTCAATCAAATAATAACACACTAATTCGGACTCAAAAATCAATAATCATATACTCTACCCTAACGTTTTATACTGCTCAAACTGTTTTAAAACTTTACAGAAAATTCCAGATATTACGCCACGCGCTTATCCCGTCACACTCCATTCAACCAAGCGACAATACAAACCTCTAAATTTAAAACATAGCCTACAGGAATACTTTTGTTTTTGTCTATTTATTCTTAAACAATGGTATCTGTACTCTATCTACCGCAGGTATCACAACCTGATTTTTAGCGTTACAAGCACTCAGACTTATCGCTCAAAAATACCAAATACAAATGTTCTTTTGTTGCTTTTACACCAAAAACACCCGCCGCCAAACATAGAAGAAATAAAAAGGACAACAGAACTTTATATTTTTAATTAACCAATTGCTTATTAATCCTCAAATTAATGACTTGTTTCATGCGTTCTCTATTGAATAGCTTAGTTTGTTTTTTGCCTGTTACAATACTCACTATAGAAACATGATCCCAAAAATATTGAGTGAAAAAACTATATGAAAAAAAAAAAGCTATATGAAAA